GCCAGGCTCAGCCTCCCGGTGCTGGGCCGGCACCAGCGCCCCACACCCAATCCCCATTCCCGGAGGAGCCTGTTGGGCAGCAACAGCACTCATCCGGCCACACGGCTTCCTTCGGTGGCACCTCCATGTCAGCCGGGCGGGCCGGGGAGAACCTCTCGCCCTCCATGCAGCAGCTGTTCCAGCACTTCAATGGCAATGCCCATGGGAGCCCTGATGCCGAAGCCCAATGTGCCCACCCCGGCAAGCAGCTGCCAGAGCCGGTTCTGGTGCCAGAGTGGGAGGCAGTGTTGGGCGCCCCGGCAGATGAGCCACCTGCTGCTCTTCGACGGCCGCCCAGGAGCCACCCACTGGTGGAGAAAGAGAGCCACCCCTGCGGGGCCAAGGACTGAGCGCAGCCCCACCAGGGTAGAGGAGGCAGTGGCAGCAGCGGCGGCATTTGGCTGGCCACGTGTGACCGAGATGCATGTGACCAAGAACCTTGCTTTCAAATCATGGGGGTAATGTCAGTGTATATAAAATTTTTAGGGGGTAAAAAAGTTCCCTGATCCCTTATATATATGTATGTATGTATGTATGTATATGTATATGTATATATATATGTATATGTATGTATGTATGTATATGTGTGTGTGTGTGTGTGTGTGTGTGTGTGTGTATAGAGAGAGAGAGAGATTCTAAAAAAAAATTTGCAGACAAAGGCAAAAATGAAAGGGAATTCTGGGTGAAAACATACAGAACTAGAAATCAGCTGATTCATTTATACCAACTTGTTTTAACCCAGCCTATGGAGCTATCATAGTATTACAATGCTCCTGGGAGAAAATGTGAGATGACACATACATACATAAACTGCAATACTTACTGTCTGTTTGGAAGAGTTCCCGGAAACACTGGAACTTTTTGTCAATATTTCTTAGGTGCCTGGCAACCTGAAGCAGCTGGTTAGGACAGGGTTTAACACAGTCCATGCCTTCCCTGGAGACAAACGTCTGTACAGAAGCCCAGACAGCGCTCAAAAACCCCACATCACTGATGAAGAACCCATTGCCCACCAGTGGCTGCCTGCCATAACAATGGCAGCTGAAGTCATTTTGCTCATTGGCCTTGCTCATCTTTGCAGACTGTACTCACAGAGTGTCTCGGTGGTAGAGAATTGCTTGCTCCTTGTTTGACCATCTCTAGAAGACTTTGGCCTTTGACAGAAGAGATGAATCCACTTATTTCCCAAGGAGCTATGTCCTCAGCATGGTTTTCCTTGATGGTGGTGGCAGCAGCACAGCATCCTCAAGCTACATAAACACATCGTTGTTCCTTTCCAAGAAGCGAATAATTCCACCAATAAGCCTCCCCAAACTCACTGTGAAGTCTTCAAACTGGGAGTTGTGTTTGGCTGGTCATCTACCAGGAGCAGTTTAGGAATAGGGGACGTTCATCAGGCCTTGGTACTGGAATGAGATGGCCTCCAGAGGAAATCTCCAGCCTGACTGTTCTGAGATACACAGACCCAATACTAAGCAAGGCTCCATATTTTCAGAGATCTGAAAACAAGGAGAACTGAAAAATCCGTTCTTCTCTGTAGAGTTCCCTTAAAAGTTCTAGAACGGAGCCATGCCCTGGAAGGAGAAATCAGGTGTGGAGACTGGAATCTTGTTCATGGCTGCCCAACACGGCTGGAGAGTCCTCACTTCCTATTTGTAAAGCTGTACACCCAAGAGATTCAAACACACCCCGCTGAAGTCTTTGGTCCCCATTGTCCAAATCCCACCTGAAGACTAGACTGAGAAATGCTGTGTCGTCGCTCGCCTGTGAGGAAGAGATGAGCCATTCGGGTTGCCGACCCAAGAGTGTCAGGCAGAGCAGATTTTCCACATTCCTTTGGCAAGAGTGATGAAATCAGAGGCTTCTTCCCACAGTGGCTCTACCCAATGCAAGACGAAGCCTCATCCTCCTACCTTGCGCTCTCTTATTAACCATTTCCTTTCTGTGCACCAAAGAAGGGTTCCTGGGGAGTCTGGTTCAGAAAAGAGACTGGACAAGAGCATGTGATGTTATGGTAACGTAACTCAGGAAAAAGGGTTGTCCTCTTCCTCAACCCATGCCTTCAACAGTGGCTGGACAAGCAGAAATTTATGGTGCAGAAAAGGAAAAAAGGATATGGTTAAGGGTGCAAACTGAACTAGGAAGTACTCCAGTTCAAATATGTTCTCTGCCTTGAACTTCCTAGGTCAGGCCAGGGTAGGAAAACATATGCCACTCCTAGGATTTCCCAGGTCTCAAGGCATTGTCTGAAAGTCACAGAATTGCTATGGTTTCCTGGATAAATCTCTATGCAGGGAGACAATTTTCAGGTGAAGGAAGAAAGATAAAAGTTTGATTTTTCTGTAGAAGGCTGCTTGGAAGGAAACACACTTTTGACCAACCCCCCCCTTTTTTTTGCTTGTATACATTAATTTTTTTAAGAAATAATTTTATTATGTTAGAAATAGAAGAAACACACATACATGGATTAAAACAGCTGGAAGGGACACGCAACACATACAAAGGTATTGTTGCTACATGCCATCAAAACACTTCCAACTTATGGCAACCCTATGAATTCATGACCTCCAAAAGGTTCTATCATTAACAGCCCTGCTCAGGTCTTACAATGTCAAGGCCAGCGTTTCTTTTATTGAGTCAATCCATCACATATTCAGTCTTCCTCTTTTCCTGTTGTTTTCAATTTTGCCCAGGACTATTGCCTTTTCAAGTGAGTCTTCTCATGATTTTTCCCAAGTGTTATATCCTCTGCCATTTTTGCTTCTAGTGAGAAGTCTGGCTTGATCTGAACTAGCCCCCACCTAAGGAGAATCCAGTCTTTCTGGCAAACCATGCTATCTGTAAAGTTCTCCTTCAGCACAACATTTGGAATTAACTGATTTTTCTTCTTATCAGTTTTCTCCACTGTCCAGCTTTCCCACCCTCACACAGCAATCAGCAATGCCATGGCATGGTCTCCAGTGACTGCTTACTTGTAAGGATCTTTCCAAGTTCTTTCATAGTTGCCCTTCCAAGTCTCCCTTCTTCCAATTTCTTCGATGCAGTCTCCATTTAGATTGAAGACTGGAGGTACATAGAGAAGCCAATTTCATGGATATATTTTTAGACACCAGGAAGCTTTTTATGGACGCTTACATACATATCTTGTTATTGATACACAGGTACAGGGATAATACGTAATGTGAGTTTTGTGTGTGTTCTACGCAGTCAAGTTGGAACCAATTTATAGTGGCTCTAATAAAGAAAACAAATAAGTGAGTAAGTGAGATATTTAAGGAGTAGCTTTACCAGTACCATGCCCCAGGGAGCTTCCATGGCTGAGTGGGTATTCAAATTCTGTTCTCCAGAGCCCTAGCCCATTACTCTGTTCACTACACCACAATAGGAATAAAAGAGAGAGACTGACTCTCTCACACACACACAAACAGAAATTGGCTGTGCTATGTTTTCATATGCTAATAAGAGTTTAAAGGTCCTTAATCCACTGAATGACAGATGGTAGGTGTGTATCATTCCAGTATCGGTTTAAGACATTTAGCCACAGTAAGGGTAAGGAGATCCAGTTTTGCTGGCCAGTATTTGACCTGCAGGATCTGGTACATAAAGTAAAAGCATATGTGTCCATAAATGATTCAGTTCAAAATTAGTATGAGGAATAACTTCCCTATATATAGACCTGACTTCCTATCCTTGCTCTCTCTCTCTCTCTCATTCTGTAAATATTTGTCTTGGGAGTTATGTATGGCTCTTTGACCTGCTTATTCAGATAAAACCTTGCTGTGCTGGAAGGAACCCGACAGATTATTGAGCCCAGCCTCTGTCAAGGAGACACAGTGAGAAATCAAACTCCTAACCTCTAGCTCCAGAGCCAGATATATAAACCACTGACCTATCCACCAGTTATATCTTCCTAAATTAAATTTATCCTGTATCTCAGTAAAGGTCCATTGAAAATGGGTATATATTTATTTACAATGAAGCAGGGATTGGCAGAGTTACTTTCTTGGACTGAAACTCCTAGAATGCCACAGTCAACATAGTCAATGATTATTCTAGCTGAAGGGTTTTGGATGGTGTAGTTCAAAAGATAAAATTTCAAGCTCCATTATAACTGCTGTGCTCTACTACAACAAGGCCCATTACATAAAACAGCAGCTAATGGTTGTAGGGATTTTAGGAAGCCACACTGTCTTGGCCTGTATATGTGCTTATGTGTGTTTGTGTAAAGTCAAATGTGGCAAAAGACGTCCTTCTGAAATATTTTCTAGTTACAATAAAATATCTGATTTATATCTCTGAAGGAAATGAAATTGATTTCTGCAGTTTGCCCACAGTTTTCTCTGAATTTTTCCCTCAGCAAATCTGACTATAGTGGCTGAAACTCAGTTGGTGCAACTACACCATCTAAATAGGGAGGACATCATCACCGAGAAATGGAAACCTTTATTTAAATTTAAAACCTCTTATCCATATCTCAAGATTCCAAGGCACCTTAGGGATCCCTTTTACCGTCGCAAAGCCTATGGAAACCACAGGACAAAGTGAGGAAGCCTTTAATGTTGAAAGATCACTGACAAATTGCTGCATATTGCTCACATAATTTTAAAATTACTTTACTTTGATTTGTTGTTTGTCATCAGTCTTCAAGACTTAAGTATAGGATTCCTTTGAAATGTGATTTCCTACACATATAAATCTGCCTGAATAATATTTCTCCAATATTAATTTGCTTCCAGCTCCGACCATAGACCACCTATACCATGTCTTTCTGCCCTATTAGGTCTCTGGTTGAGGAGACAGAGGTTGGGAGTTCAATTCCTCACTGTGTCTCATTATTTATTTATTTATTGTTTATTTATTTTATTTATATCCCGCCTATCTAGTCGATAGACCACTCTAGGCAGCTGAACTTGATGACTCATAGGATCCTTTCCAGCTCTGCAATTGTAAGATATAAGATCATCTTCAACAAAAATGCCAGGATTTTGGGGGTGGGGGGTGGAATCTGAATGTTGTGAACACAAAACAGGTTGGGTGACTGTAGTTAAGCCTGGCTGAACTGAAATGTCATGATGTGTGGAGAAGTACATACGGAAGCAAGCAACGTTTTATAAAGTATGCATACAAAGCTTGTTTGTAGAGCTTTTCTTTGTCTTCTGCCTCTACTACTCAAGGGGAAGGGGCAAAGTGTTCTACACAGTACTGATGGACTACCTTGACATCACTGCAAGCCTTACATGTCATTCCCTACCATCCACACCTACACGCCTCCCAATTGTGCAGTTTCTCTAACCATCATGTGGATATTGCCTACACGCTGTCACAAGACTCTTCCTAGTCGTAAGCTGATGGGAGGGAGGGAGGAAGACACCTAACAATGGGCTCAAGTTACAGGAAGCCAGATTTTGGTTGAATATCAGGAAAAATGTTCTAACTGTTGGAGTAGTACAACAATAAAACCAATGACCAAGAGAGGCTCCAACACTAGAAGCATTCAAGAGCAACTTAGACAATCATCTGGCAGATATCCTTTGATTTGTAGTCCTGCATTGAGGGACGGAGGGAACTTGGATTTCTAAGAAACTAAAAAGCTGCATTCACTACCAGTAACTGTTTGTGTGCAGTGTGGCCATAGCAGACAACCCAAGAAACTCTGCTTGTGCCTTAGGAGCCCAGCTTGCCCATTGAGAGCTCCGGGGCAGGAAATGTCCCATCAGGAGGATGCATCGCCCTCGTCTTTGCTTCTTTTTCTCCTTTTGCTCTTGGCCAGTTTATATTTGTATCGGCGGATGGGATCACTGATGCTCCTCAAAGCCACTTTGTCAAAGTCTTCTGCCAGGCGGAAGTTCCTGTCCACCAACTCAGCCGCTTCTTGCCAGTTTTTGAAACAGTCGGTGCCCTTCTGCTCGATTTCCTCCATGGCATTTGCAGTGATGATGTCCCCGTTTGGCTTTAACACCACCACCACTGGAGGGTCCTTCACAGAAAATCTCAACTCCAGTTCCCTAGAAAGTATAGATGTTCAGTTACATTCAAACCTTTGCCATTCTCCCAATAAGCTCAGAGCAGCCGGCCTGACCTTCCTTCTCACTTCATCCATATAACAACCCTGTAAGATAGGTGGGTTTGAGAATGAACAAGCAAGCCCAAAGCACCCTGTTGAGTTTTATGACCCATTGGCAAATATAACCTGTATGATTCAGCATTCTAATCCCCTACACATCACACCGGCTCTCATGACACCGGGGGAAAAATGGCCAAGGATACTTCCAGAGGATAGCTACCAGCACTGCCACACAACACTGAGCAGCTGTTCATTTTTTCCTTCCTTAACTGATATTTTCCTGGTGAGAAAACAAGGTGGAAAAAAGCTGTGAGAAAACACAAAGGCTGAAATCTTATCAAAGAAGCTCCATGCATGCAGTTTTGTTCACTCCTGGGCTGCCGGTCACATGTCTGGTCATGCAAGGGGATAGCTGATTCGTTGTGCAATCTGAGGAAGACCAGGAATGTGACGGACAGGCTATGAAACATGTACCTTCCCTTGAGTGGCTGCCTTTATATAACTGCTTAGGGCAGCAGTATTCCTAGCCATTAGGGAAAGAGCAATGCCTCAAACAGCCCCGGATACTCTATGAGTGAGGCAGCACAGAAGCTTCAATGGGAAAAATCCCAGTTTCCTAGTTCTGTCCTCCATTCAAATGAGTTTTGAAGACGAAAATAGTAGTATCACTTTTTCCTAAAGAGCCCATCGGCCATGAGGATTGAACCTGATAAGGTGTTCTCTTTCCTTTGATTAGCTGCAGATGATAATAAACAACAAATAGATCAATAGAAACTTTAGCTTTCTGGTTATCACTACAGCCTGCAACTGGCTTGTCAATAAATTGCAAGTGTAAAGTTTTGAAACTGTTTTTGAATCAAACATCAGCCACAATCCAGCACAAGGTTCCATGATGTCATCCCATACAACGTAGTAAATGTCAGGAGTGAACAAATTAAGGTTATTAAAAAACACCTGGAATTTTCTGCAATCTTAATCCATTGCTCCCACTGTTCAAAAATGTTACTTCGAAAATGAAGGCTACATTTACAGTGTCCTTCACTAAAGCTTAAAACACGTGCACCTAAACGGCTCCTTTTAAAAATTTCTTTCATGCTGAGCTTGTTTGTGCTTCCATTTTTTATACTAAGAACAACATTGCAGGGCTAAGTCTATGAAAAATTCCTTAAATAGGTTAAAGCAAAATGTTTTCTGCCATCTTATAGCTTAAAAAGCAAGGAAATCCAGGCCACACATTAGCCTCCTGCCATCCTCACTGTAAATATGAGCACATGAATGACATGAAATCCTGTTATCAATCTTATGTATGAATGAGTTCTTTGTCTGAATTAATTCTTTCTCCTCCTTTTAATGTGTCAACGATCTCAGCAGAAATAGCTCCATTTTTTTCCATGCTGCTGGCTGCTTTACAGAAATTGAGAGGAATAGCAAGGTTAGCTGCTCCTATGGGTTCTGTTTTGCTGGAAGTATCTAAGCTGTAGCTAGACAGGTGTCTGCTAAAGAACCTGTGCTTGGATGCTGTACTGCGAGGATGGGGGCTGGACAGGCCTAACAACGACCAGCACCCCTCCAGCTCACCTTGCACAAGATGCATGGTTCCCAAAGCCAGCCAAATTATTTTGGTTCAGGAGGCAAGAGATCCCACATCTCCCATTCCTAGCAGCAAAAATAGACAATGATAAATCAAATCAGCAGATTTCTGCCACAACTGTTTTCGGGACATTCATTAGTAATTTTCCTGCACTCAGCCTGAAGAAGTGAATTTATTCATGAAAGCTTGCACTGAAAGTTTGGTTTTTAGCCGTCTAAAGAAAGGTATCAATTGCTGGATAGCTCAGTGGGATAGGCATCTGGCTGCGGAGCCAGAGGTTAGGAGTTGGATGCCCCACCGTGTCTCCTGTGAGTAGAACCAGCCTGGGTGGCCTTGGGCAAGCTGCACAGTCCTAAGGTGCCCCCAGAAGAATGGAATGAGAAACCCTGGAAAGGGTCGCAATGTCAGAATTGACTGCACGCACAAACACAAATAAAGGGATCACCTATTCTCCACTTGTATTGTGTAAGGACCATAGAGCTCCCTCTGTTGTTGTTTTTGTTACAAAGATACATACAAAATATCAGTCTAGAGGAGACCTACGTAGGCAAAGTGCAGCCCTTGTGATATTGCTGGATTGCCAATCCCATCAGTTTTACCTAGCATAACTAGTGGTAATGTATGATGGGATTTGTGGTCCAAAATCTGGAGGGCCAGATTTCTAATCTAACAATCTTGATCTCACAATCCTGTCTCCACCGTTTGTCAGGAGACGAAGGGTGACTCAGGACAGGACAATAGCAAAGGATGGCATACAGTTTAAAAAGCACGCTTATCTATATTAGTCAAAAGACAAACACCAACAACCATACTTCACAAACATCTTTTGCAGGCCAACCAAAAATCTGTGCAAGCTTTCATGATCAGAGAGTTGATTTATAAACCACCTTGGCTCCGTCTGTTATACTGTATAGGGGTGAGAAAGGGTGTGCAAATTATCAGATATGGATCATCAGGCACTATATTTAATACCAAATGGCTCCTGGGTTTATAAAATAAAAACCATATGGTTCTGACTTGTTCTAACTACCCTCAATGGTTGTGTTAAGGGAAATGTGAATTCACTCTCTGTGAAGTCACACGAGAGAATTTGGGTCTGCTCAATTTAAGTGGCCACACTTAACCGTTTTTTTTCCTGTTTATCAGACAACTCGATGTATAAAATCCCCCCCTTTTCTAGCCCCAAATTAGAAAAACAGGGATCAAAGGGTTCCCTTTTTGCTAAGCCCCCTGCCTTCTCAAAAGGCAAGGAAAGCGGCTGTCAAAGTGACTGCCACTTTTCCTTGCCTTTTGAGATCTTAGAAAAAAGGAAGAGAGAAACACCTCCCCTTCCTTTTTGCTAAGCTCCGTGCCTTCACAAAAGGCAGTGGTAAAGAGCTGCCTTCTGTGTATAAAACAACCCTCATTTTCCCCCCTCAAATTATTTAAGGAAAAAGTGTTGTTTTATACATTGTAAAATACGGTACATCAAACAGCCCTGCAGGTGGTGCTGTTCAAAGAACTGTATTAATTGGCAATGAGATACAGTACTTTTTCCTGTATCAACTGCCAGCTTCGTCACTGGGCTTTTACCCGCTTCTTAAGTGGTTAAAAAAAAACAAAATAAATAAAATAACAAGAGTGCTGCACAGGAGGAGAAGCTTTAAAAAAAGTCTTGGGAGTGTCTGCTGATACTATGTGCACATGTGTGCCTATACCTTAAGGTAAGAGGCAAGAGGCGAGGAGGCATGCAGGGAGGTGTGTAGAGTGTGTACACTCATGCATCTCGTCCTCCTTTTTTGCACTGATTCATGCTCATGTGCTTGGATTGACCGGAAAGAATCTCAAATATAAAAAAGCAGAAGATTCCCTGGTGGACCAAAAAGCTACAGATCAGGGAGGGGGTGCTCCGTACTGATTTGCATTTCCCATTGCGTCATCTGACCCATTGGGGGGGGGGAATGTGAATCAGCCCGCACCAAATCTATAGCATTTTCTACTGACACCCACTTCATTTCTCTGTCAAGACTAACTGCCAAGTCTTATTCCATCATCTGGAGGTAAAGATATCTTGATTTGTTTACCAAGCTTGAGAATTCTGGTTGAAAAGCCAGCACTTAATGAAGTAAATGTGCATATGGTGGCTTGCTCTAAATGAATGCATTATACTCCCTGAACTCTGGAAGTCATACCTCTTGTACTCATCATGGAAGGGTAAAAACAACCACCTCTTGGGCATGGTCTTTAGAAACGTGGCTTGCTGCTCCTCTGTTTCATCCAGTGAGACATATATCAGGACCAGTTGGGACGCTCGCTCCACATAAAATTCATCGGTGAGCTTCACGAAAAATTCTTTCAGAGCGGGCGCAAATGCCTTGCAGCGTGGACAATCCCCAGAGCCAAAATACAGAAGCATGACCTTGTTCTCCAGCACTCGGATAAGCTCGCGCTCCAGCTCCAGCTCATCTTTGTCCTTATTGTTTACAACCAGGGTCTTGTTGATAAAAAGGGCAGCCATTCTATAGGCTCATCCTTGTGGCAAAAGGATCTTCTTTAGGTTCTTCAAGGGGCATGCATTACTTTTACCACTGAAAGGTAAAAATTTTTAACATGATAGGGGACTTTCAGTCATTCATTTCACCATTGATGCAAAACATATACGCCACCATTCAAAACCGAGGCTGCATAAGGTGCATTAGTAAAGTATATTAAGTCTAATGTTAAGGGGAAAAGCCAGATGTATTTATCTGAATACCTAAATAGTGTATATCAATAACATTATGCAAATCTAAGTATTTAACCCTGGTCTAGTACTTAACCATGCAGATACATTTGAACAATGTGATACCATTCTGGAATATAATTATGAAGACATTGAGAACTTGGGGTGTATGAAACATGAAATTCAGTTGCTGGAGTCTGGAAAGCTGACCTCACAGAAAGAGGTCAGGGTGGAAACAGACATTTCACACCTTCAATTCATCTCCTGCTATTGAACACTTCAAAAGAAGGGCTGAGCAAGGAGCAGATGCTTCCATGCTTATCTTTATCAGATGACATATCAAAGCAGCCCCACACAGACACTAGAACCTTACATGTAACCAGACTTAAAAGAAGTCAGCCCACTCCCTTCCCAGAGAGTTGTGCAGATATGACCAGGGTGGGGGGGTAATGGTGGCAGCTAAGGAAGCTGTCTTTTGTCCTGATAGAACAGAAAAGTGTCTTAAGATGTGGTTTGGCAATAAGTGTGTCAACGGTCCATTTACTTGTATAAAAGGGATTAGGGAAACAAGTTAGTTAGTCTAGCATATCTCTGAGGAGAACAATGTTTCACTCCCCTGCTGCTCAGTGATTCAGCCTGATTCATGAAGATAACCCGGTTCATTGGCTGTTCTATGAAGCTGTGTCAGAGGATACATCATGTGTATGTCCCAGAACTATGTTATGATAAATAGAGAAAAGTGTTGGATGAAGATTGTGAAGAACTGGATTTAAAGCCCTGATCATAATTGGATGATTTTGGTTCAGTCATCTTCTCTCAGCCTAACTACTTTTGGTCATGAGATAAATAAGTGGCTATTGGCTGTCGCAGAGCCACTGCCTGACAGCAACCAGTGGAAATTCAGCTGGTTCAGGAAATACTGTACTGTACAAGCACATCATAAACAAATGATCCCTGTTTAGAGCAAGGTCCTTGTTGAAGACCTTGACAAGTCATGATAGACTAAGTTTGGACAAGGATCCAGAAGTGATGAAAACAATAATAAATCATTACTAAAGGTCTAGCAGCATAATAGGAAAACATCTGCATATGAAGCCCAGCCAACACATTTTAGGTCTACAGTCAGATTTGTTATATCTGTCAGATGGCACGCAGCCTTCTCCCAAGAACAAACTCCACAGTCTTGTTGCTAAATTAATAAGGCAGTCATGCTTTTCTCCAGTTTAGATTATACTCACCTTCAAAATAGAAGGAAACATTTTAATTCCAGTACTGCTGCATGTTTCATGCCCTCATACAGTGCCTTCCACCCAGTCCAGTAGGTGACGATAGCACCTCTTTTCCACCACAGTTTAGGTTACTGATGTGAATAACCTTTCCTGTTGGAATTTACCTTTGTATCTATTAATAGAAAAAAAATACCCAGTGAGTTAATCTCCTTAAATCAAATGAAGGCTGAGACTCAGAAGGGCAGCAGTGAAGGAACTAGAAGTGTAAGGATGTGTCACAGCAGACCTAGACGAAGATTATCAACACGCTTGCATTTCTGATCACTATGTATGGGTGTGAAAGTTGGGTGGTAATGAAAGCTGAAAGGGAAACAAATAGATTTGATCAAAATGTGGTGCTGGAGGAGAGCTTTGCAGATACCTTGGACTGCCAGAAAGACAAACAAGTGGGTCCTAGATCAAATCAAACCTGAAATATATCTGGAGGCAAACACAATGAAACCGAGTCTGTCCTACTCTGGGCACATCATGAAAAAGCAGGATTATCTAGAAAAGACTATAATGCTGGGAAAAGTGGAAGGTAACAGGAAAAGAGCGAGACCAAATACAAGACGAATTGACTCCATAAATGAACCCACAAGCTTGAATTTGCAAGAGCTGAGCAAGGCTGTTAAGGACAGGACATTTTGAAAATCACTTATTCGTAGGGTCACCATAAATCGGAGGTGATTTGATGACACATTACAGCAAAAACAATATATTTAAAGTAGCATTGCATTGCTTGCCAGAAATCTATTTTGCTGACAACATGCTAGACAGCAAAAAACTTTCTTTGCTCTTTCTACACCCTTATTCTTAAATGGGTGGATCAGTGGCATCTTGTTGCACTCTTTCAAATAAATAAATTTGCTGATTAAAACTGTTACAGCCTTGGTTTTCCATAAAGGGTCTAAGGCAGCTAACAAACCAATAAAAATCCAATAACAACATTAAAGCCATCATAAAAGCCAAAGCAGCACATAAAACCCAAAAAGAGCAGCCTTCAAGTGCCACTGGGAGTAATCAAACCATCCAATCTTAGCTAATTGAATCCATGGTATTCAAACCATTGTATTTTGGAATCAACAATGTTAACAGTTTGAAATCTGAACTCCAGTTCAGCCTTGAGGTTCGTTGAGTAGTTCTGGGAGGCTTTGGACATGCAGTTATTTCATCTTAAATGAGATCACAAGGTCATCCTGAAGATAAATGTCATATGGATTATGTGAATTCTGTTGATGGAGAAAAGAAGTATGCATGATTTCTATAAAACTTTAAAAGTAATTCGTTACAGTTAACTTTGTAAGCCCACAAAGTAATTATCATTTATAGTTATAAGGTTAAAAAGTAACTCTCATTTTCATTTACTTAGTTTTTAGAAATCTGATGCAAATCAACAGGGGATGTACACTAAAAAGAAGGTGAGAGGTTGATACAAACTCGCCAGCTTACTTTTTCAAAGTAATGTTCTGTGACTGAAGACACAGAAGAAGGAGGAGGTTGTAAGCAGATTTTAAAGAGAAAGATGCCCTTGCATACCTGGAAGTCAGTAAACAGGGCTGACTACAGACATGATGCTGCTTGAGACAGAGTAACAAACAGTGAAAATCCCTCCCCTCTATATCACAAGTGATCTATACCAAACTCTTGAAGGCAGGCAACAGCCAAAATTCTGTTGCTTAGCATTGTAAACTGCACTAGAGTAGATCCACCAATCAACTGGGATTTGGTGAGTCAACTCTAAATTCTATTGATTCCAATGGGCTTACTCTGACTGCAACTTACTTTAGCCTAGAAAGTTGCCATTTGAGTAAGCCCATTTGAATCGGTGGGGATTTGGTGAGACAATTTCTCTGTAAGTTCCCTGGATTCAATGGGCCTGCTTTAGTAACAACTTAGTACACTAAGCAGCAGGATTTCTGCCATCATATGTTAATAATGAACCACGATCAAAATATAGCAGCACGTGTTTTGTTTTGTTTTGCTTTCTTCGAGTTCTGTATCATATGACCAAGGCAGACAGGAATACAGTGTTTCTCCACTTGATGTTACAACTATAACAAAACTCTTTCCTTAACAAATTAAGTATCTAACAATAGAGTTGAGACTAACCTAACAAGAATTCAGAAGTAATTCTGCTGATTTGGAAACAGAGGAAAGGTCACTGGAACATCATGTCTTAAACAGAAAATAAAGGGAAGTATCTCTTCTCAAGATTTGGGGTGAGTCCCTTTGGTTAATTTCTAACAGAAACTATTTTTCTCAAACAAACACACATTGTTCCTTCCTTTTGAAAACAGATCCATCTGGCATTCCCTTGCCCTATTGCAGTGTTTGCTGCCTTTCAATTTGGACACAATTTGTTCCCATTGTTATCCCAATTATTCAATGTATAAATGGATTTAAGTTTGTTGTTTTAATTGCTAGAGCACTCCATTTTAACATTTCTTGTTCATTAACTCACCTGGGCCATTTTTGACAATTCTGAGAGATACCTGAACACGTATTAATTCTGAGAGATACTTGACCAGCTTGACAAATCAAATGAATTACATATTTTATGTTCTAAGATCAACAGATTTAATATGATGATGCTGTAGTGCCACCCCTAATGTTTTCAAACCTGTTTCCACCTAACCTTTTTTCCTTCAGATTCAATTAGTAGTTTCAACTGACCATCAAGTACAAATGGCACCCACTTTCTTCTGTTTGAAATTATAGTGCTGCCGGGATCATTATACATCACCAACTCTCAATATTAAAAATGTGTTAGGTGTGGTTAGGATACCACTAATAAACTATACAGTACTGTATTTCTTTTGATAAGCATAAGAAATAGAGTATAAAGGACAGTATGGTTTATAAAGGAAACAAAGAATATCATTTAGCACGTGATGTAAGTACTTGGTTATAGATTGTGCTAGGTAAATAATGTCCAACTACTGCTTCTGGAGGTTTGCCTTCTACCATAATTTGTTTCAAGTCAGAGTGTGCTTGTCTTTGTAAAATTTTCTGCCTTCTGAAATGTAGAATCACACAAACATCAATGTTGCCAAAGGAAAGGCTTCAGTGAAAACTTAAGAGAGAGAGAGAAGTTTAAAGTCCATTGTATGGATGGCAAAGCAAGGTGCTGTTCAAAATATTCTCCTGAGAAACACATTCCAGTTATGTTTAGCCAAAGTCAGTTTCTTCTGGAGGAAAATGTTTAGGAAAACAACAACTTTTAATTCTGTGATTGCTGTTGAACTTTGTCCTTTCAAATAAAAGGCACAAGTACAACCCTTGTTTTCAAAAAGCTGTGGAACTGAAAGTTAGAGCGGCAATTATCTGTGAAGAATGGCCTAATTAAGTTTGCCAAAAAAAAAAAAAAAAAGAAATAAAAACTAAATTAGAATTAAGTTCTCTGAGGGAGGTAACATGGAAATCAACCATCAGCTGTAACTATACAGTAGTCAGAGCCCTAACAATCTTTACATATTTAGATTTTTCATATAGCATTTCCCACAAGATCTAGTAGTTAGTATTCCTAGTTTTCACCAAGGTTCAACTTCTGGTGTGTGGAGAAGCAATATTTTGATAACCAGCATGGCGGTAAAATTAAAGATTTTTTTTAAAAAAATCCCATTTAAAAACAATTTAAATTAAAAAAACATTTTTAAAAAAAATTAAATTATGATTCAAATCCACCCTGATAGCCAGTGTGTTGTACTGGATAGTGATGGACTCAGGAGCCCAGGCTTTGGATCCCTGCTTGGCTAAAGAAACAATAACTAAAAATAAATGGATTTAAAATAATTAATTCATTAATTAAGATAAAAATGGACCAGAATGGTTGATCAGCAAAGGGGATTAATATTTATTGCTCGGATCACAGATTGCCACGTGTGTGGGGTTGAACGATCGCCGCTAAATATAAACACAATATTTATAACCACAGGAACTCGTGCCTCCGCCCCTTCAGCGGATTAGAAAGGAATCGACGCTCCTTCTCCTCCACGGTCTCCAAACGTCATAAACGCTGCCCTTGATTGGACAATATTCCACGACTCCCGGGGGGGGCGAAAGCAAGGCGTTTTGTGTTGCCATGGTCACGGGGGTCCTAGTGCAACCCACCACATTCCCGAGAGGCTTCAGGCGCTCCCCAGCCCTCCACTCTTTGCCCTTCTATCCCCTTCCTCTCTATGCCTTTGGTCCCCTTCAAGGGCTGGTTTCCTCCTTGGGCTCCGCCTCCCTGCCGCTGTCCCGTGAGGAGAAGCGGGGCGCGTTCTGAGGCGCCGCTGTAGAAGCCGAGGGACTGCGAAGGAGGCGCAGGAGCCTGGCGGCGAAGCGCGAGGTACGAAAGGAGTGTTTGACCAGGACGGGTGGTGGTGGTGGAAGTGGTGCTGCCTTGGCAACAACGGGGGGGAAGGAGGGAGATGGCAGTCGCTGTGGCGTGGCATTGCCTTGGTAACGCGTAGAGAAGGAGGGGGGGAGAGAATGCCAATGCTCTGGCAACGGACTGAAGGGAGGGGGCCTCGGCGTCGGCACGGAGAGGTCCGCCGTTTTCAATGGAGCGGAGGGGGGCATATTTTTGAACTCCTGCGAGCGTGGAGATGTAATGGTGGTCACAGAAGCCGGTTGGCGCCAAAACAGAGGTAAGAAGAGGATACTGGCGGGTCTGAGGGGTTGCTTTGCCATTGATGAGGATGGCAGGTCCCTGAGAGGAAGGGATCTGGGCAGTCACCTGCAGATTGAGAATGGGGGGGCGGGGGAGAGAGAGAGAGGAACTCCCCTCACAAGGTTGTGGGGATGTGTCTCCCCCTTATCGCAAGCCTCCTGTGCCTGAATAGCTTTGGAAAGACTTGTGTAGGGTTGCCAATTTCTTGAGTAGCTGCTGTAACTTTTTTTTTAAGGGACAGTTCCTAAAAGGCGTAGTCTTTAGTACATATACTGTATATTTAATCATAGCTTCATGAGGGGAATTTAGAGGCTGGCTACCTTGGCTGTTTCACCCACTGTTTGTTGTGTTGCAAGGATGGGCTGTTGTGCCCTTAAAGGTGGGGATCAAACATCATTGCTAGAGTGCACTAGTTTGCCCCCAGAGCGTGGCTACCCACACTTTTTTGACCCCTGTCATGAGGTGTCTACTTTTCTGGTGTGAGTAGCATCACTCTGGGTTGGATCATTTCAGCACATGTGATTGCTGAAGCAACTCCAAATCATTGCTTTGCCAGTATCCTGGATTGTCTTAATAAACAAGCCACTTTAGAATATTGGCAAATTAATCATTTAGCAGAGGAAGTGAAAAGAATTTGTATGTAGACTATCACTGATGTGCTACATTAGTTATTAAATTTTTTTAAAAAGTTTGCCTTATCTTAAAGGGCCAGTCGAGAAACTACCCTCAGTTGAATACACAATTATGGCTTTGGCTGCAGGTGGTTTTTTTTTGTTTGTTTTTTTTGACTGGCCCTTTAAGAGAAAGGAAAGAAATGATTTCATAATCAATAATCCATGCACAGTCAAAAATGTCACTTTCCCTGCCCTCTTCTGAGCAGGAGAAATGATTAATTTGCCAATATCCTGAAGTGGCTTAACTATTAAGCCACTTCATAATATTGGCATAAGCCATTTCTGTGTAAATGGTCAAGCTTGATTAGATCCTTCTAATCAAGCCTGGCTATTCCTAGCTGATTCCCTGCTGCTAGTGTAGCTGTACCTTAGCAACTATCCACCCCTGTATCCTAGGCTGCTGTAAAAGACACAGGAGCAAGCCAAACTGCTTCTTTTAACCTTGACATTTGGCAGCTCTTGCTCCTATAAGACAAAAATTAGAAGTTTCGTTGCTTTTGTATTTAATAACAGTAGTAGGCTTTGTTGAGTTTTTCATTTTTGCAATCAGTTGGCAATATTGGGAAAATATTGATTTGCTAGCTTGTTGGTATACAGTAGTTTCATGTTTGAGAGTCCATGGAAAGGAAAAGTAATATTTAGGGTGAGGTAGGGTATCATTGTAGGAGTGCTGCTCCAAAGGAATAGACCAACTGGTACATTATTTGCTGTGAGGCAGTAGCTTAGTCCTTTGGCAGGGAAATGTTTTCACATGTTGGGCTTCCATGCAGTCTAACTGCTAGCTCAAAGTGGCACTCCTTTGAGAAATGTGATAGCATGCTAGTTTGATGGCACAGAAGGTGGAAACTTTCAGAGCAGTGAGACTTTAGGTTGCTTGCATTGCTTTAGCATACTCTGAGGCTGTATATTACATGGTAAGCTTTCTTAATAGTAGAACATTTTTTGTCTATTTTTGTGGTGAATCATAAGAAGCAGGTTGGTGCCTGTTTAGGCTTGGGGTAATTATATTCCCAGAAGCAACTAGAAGATGACTACAGTACCTCCTGGGTCTCTAGTAGAGGGAAGGAAAGGAAAGGCTCCAGGATATGATTCCACAGCTCCCAAGTAACCAGTTTTATTGTCTCTCCCCATTTGTTTTCAAAACCATTTTCTCTTACCTTACCTAAATCTGCTCTGCCTCTTCTTGATTCTTGTCCTTCCTATGTAGCTTGGGAGAATAGCTCCATGTCATTTTTATTGCCCTCTGTATACTTGCAAACTGATACTACTACTGTACTTCAGTCTTCTTTTCTTTAAGCTAAACAAACTTGATTCCACCAGCCTTTCCTTAGATGTCATGATTCTGAATTCTTCATTGTTTGCATCACTATCGTAAGTGTTCTCTGGGTCTGTCTCCACTTTCTCATGCTTTCTTAAAGTATGATGCTGACAAAAAAGTGGGCATGATACACCTGAGTTGTAACGGGCGCTGGATCTGATTCTGCTGCAAGTGTCTCTGTTGGCAGAAACATATTGGAATATGGGTGTCAGTTTGATAATTGCTTGAATAATGACAACTGGAAAAAGCCTAGATTATTTTGGAAATGATCTGAATGTTTTATTAAGAAATCAAGAGCTTTGCTGGATTGAACCAAAAGTCCATCTGGTCCAGCATTCTGTCAACAGTGGTGTGAACACTGGAAAGTTCTGGAAAACTTATAAACAGAGAGGAAAGCAATTATTCTCCATAGCCTGATTATAGCATCTGTTAATCAGAAGGATTCTGCCTTTGAATAGGGCAGGTCCATGGTGTTCTGTTGTGTCTAGTAACTATTGAATAACTGCTTTATATGAAATGTTGAAATCTTTTTCCAAAGTGAAGTTACCACCAATTCTCAGAAGCATAGAATTA